GGGTGGGGGGTGGCGGGGAGTGGAGTCACATAAAGGATAAGCAAAGCATAAGGGCATTTTAATCAACAATACTGGAAGCTGGAAGGCAATGGATCAGTATCTTCAAAATGCTGAGAGAAAATTATTTTCAAGCCAGAATTCCATACCAAACTATTAATCAAATAGATAAAATAAGGACATTTACACACACGCTCAAAGACTTAAGATTTACCTTCCAAGTACTCGACTCTGTTTCCAGAACCTAGTGAAGAATGTATTCCACCATAATGAGAGAGAAACGAGGGAGCCAATAATGAACAAAGGGAAAGAAAATGCCCAGGATGAAGGTGAAGGAAGGTCACAGGAAGATAACTGTGCCACAGGCCTAGAAAAGAAACCAGTCCAGATTGAAGGACACTGGAAACGGACAGAAACTGACATTATCTTAAGAGACTCTGGTAAACTCAGTAAGTGCATTTACAGGAGGCAAAAGTCTTCCATGGCAGGAAGTCAAAGATTACATCTAAATCAACAGCAATGTTATTGTATCTCAAATATAAAAAAGGCAGCTAAAAAAAGGTGAAACAGTTGTCTCAAGTTAATGGAAAGGGAGTGGGTTTTTGACTCTTAGGTTTAAAGTGCTACTTGGATTTTCAATTTATGTATATGCATTATTTTGATAAATGTGAACATGTAGGCAATAATTTTAATTATTCTTAAATATATTTTTAAAAAATCCTTAAATGAACAACATTTACCTGAACCTTCCTTTTAATAGTTCTTTGTTTTCAAAATGGAGGGAGAAACTTAGTATATCTTTAGGAATCAAAAATCATAAAGTATGATTCTGATAATATGCTTTTAAAAATTCATAGAACCTAATGCTTCAGACTACAGGCTTTGAAGTCGAAAGAACAGCGTTTAAATTCTGGCTCAATCACTTATAAATCACCTTGGGCAAGTTACTTAGCTTTTCCAAGAGTTAGTTTCTTCATCTATAAAGTGAGAATACTAATACCTACTTGCATAAGATGTTTGGAAAATTGGGTAAAATAGCTTGTGCTTGCATAGTGCGTGAAAGTTACTAAAACCGACAAATGGTAGCTGTTCCCACAGCAATTATTACTACTATTTTTGCTATTACTTCCTCACCATCCACCTAAAACTTGCCCAAAACATTCTAGAAGACAGAAGCACATCAGGCTGCTTCTCAAATGGCTTAGAAGACTTAATAAGATGCCCCTGGCTGTCAAAATTTGAACACATAGTAGAAGGAAGGGAGAAAAAAACATAAACCAAAAAACCCTTCCCAGAATACCTAACTAAATTAGTCACTGAAGAAACAGTAATAGCTTTCTGACGTACCTTGCTGAATTTCACTCTCCATGTGTGTTTGTGTGTGCGCGCACACACACAAGCGCTTAATCGCTCAGTCACGTCCGACTCTTTGTGACCTCACGGACTGTAGCATGCCAGGCTCCCGTCCGTGGATTCTCCAGGAAAGAATACTGGAGGGGGTTGCCATTCTCTTCAATAGGGGATCTTCCCCACCAAGGGCTCAAAACCAGGACTCCTGCACAGCAGGCGGATTCTTTACCTTCTGAGCCACCAGGGAAGCTATTATTTAAACCCTGGAGCAGGATCTAATGCATGAACTAAAACTCATTGGTTCTACAGGGCAGAATACCAGCAAACTAGCTGCAAAATAGCCACGTTACTCACATACCAATAAAACCTACAAAAAGTCTTAAAAATACAAATCATATTCAACACTTCATTTTTGGGGGGTGCACCTCTTGGCTTATGGGATCTTAGTTCCCCACCTAGAGATCAAACCCAGAACACACACCCTGCCCTCCCCCAACCTTGGGGCAGTGAGAGCACCCAGCCCTAACCACTGGACTGCCAGGGAATTCCTCAAGTCAAGTCACTTTGAATATGAACTCAAATCACTGTAAAAATCACTGAATCCTAAAGGGGACCAATTTAAAAGATGGAAAGAATATTGCCTTTGGAATCGGACAGTTTGAACTAAAAGTCCACTTTGCCTGGCTCATTTAGTTAGCACTGTCTACCTTTCCAAGGAATATGACTACCTCAAGAGTGGCATCTGGAGACTACCCTCGCAGTCCAGTGGTGAAGACTCCAAGCTCTCACTGCCAAGAGCAGTTCAATCCCTGGCTAGGGAACTAAGATCCCACAGTCGTACAGCTGGGCAAAACAAAAAGTGATATCTGTTCTTTCTGTACCTACACATTTCACAAATTCACTCCCTGAGATTATCAGGAAATTTACTTACTAGGGGCTGCCCTGGTGGCTCAGACGGGAAAGAGTCTGCCTGCAATGCAGGAGACCCTGGGTGGGGAAGGTCCCCTGGAGAAGGGAATGGCAACCCACTGCAGTATTCTTGCCTGGAAAATCCCATGGACAGAGGAGACAATCCATGGGATCCCATAGAGTTGGACACAACTGAGTGATTAACACTTTCACTTTCAGAGGAACTAGTATTTTAGCTGTAAAATTACTTCCTTATCAAAAGGGAGAAAAACTTTGTTCTTCAAGGGCTCCAACACAGGGGACAAGGATTGGGTAATCTATTATCATTCAGAGGTCAGTTCATATTTGGTGTTGGCCATTTCACATAGCAATCAATTTTTAATAACAAACCCAGTACAAGCACTCATCAAAGGACAGACAGACTAAAACAAAGAGGCAAGAAAGTTCAACAGTCTGTACTCAAGATCAAATTCAGAAGCAAATATACAGCCAATAAAATATGACTGATTCAACTAGCCCACTTTTGTGACCTCACGGACTGTAGCATGCCAGGCTCCCGTCCGTGGATTCTCCAGGAAAGAATACTGGAGGGGGTTGCCATTCTCTTCAATAGGGGATCTTCCCCACCAAGGGCTCAAAACCAGGACTCCTGCACAGCAGGCGGATTCTTTACCTTCTGAGCCACCAGGGAAGCTATTATTTAAACCCTGGAGCAGGATCTAATGCATGAACTAAAACTCATTGGTTCTACAGGGCAGAATACCAGCAAACTAGCTGCAAAATAGCCACGTTACTCACATACCAATAAAACCTACAAAAAGTCTTAAAAATACAAATCATATTCAACACTTCATTTTTGGGGGGTGCACCTCTTGGCTTATGGGATCTTAGTTCCCCACCTAGAGATCAAACCCAGAACACACACCCTGCCCTCCCCCAACCTTGGGGCAGTGAGAGCACCCAGCCCTAACCACTGGACTGCCAGGGAATTCCTCAAGTCAAGTCACTTTGAATATGAACTCAAATCACTGTAAAAATCACTGAATCCTAAAGGGGACCAATTTAAAAGATGGAAAGAATATTGCCTTTGGAATCGGACAGTTTGAACTAAAAGTCCACTTTGCCTGGCTCATTTAGTTAGCACTGTCTACCTTTCCAAGGAATATGACTACCTCAAGAGTGGCATCTGGAGACTACCCTCGCAGTCCAGTGGTGAAGACTCCAAGCTCTCACTGCCAAGAGCAGTTCAATCCCTGGCTAGGGAACTAAGATCCCACAGTCGTACAGCTGGGCAAAACAAAAAGTGATATCTGTTCTTTCTGTACCTACACATTTCACAAATTCACTCCCTGAGATTATCAGGAAATTTACTTACTAGGGGCTGCCCTGGTGGCTCAGACGGGAAAGAGTCTGCCTGCAATGCAGGAGACCCTGGGTGGGGAAGGTCCCCTGGAGAAGGGAATGGCAACCCACTGCAGTATTCTTGCCTGGAAAATCCCATGGACAGAGGAGACAATCCATGGGATCCCATAGAGTTGGACACAACTGAGTGATTAACACTTTCACTTTCAGAGGAACTAGTATTTTAGCTGTAAAATTACTTCCTTATCAAAAGGGAGAAAAACTTTGTTCTTCAAGGGCTCCAACACAGGGGACAAGGATTGGGTAATCTATTATCATTCAGAGGTCAGTTCATATTTGGTGTTGGCCATTTCACATAGCAATCAATTTTTAATAACAAACCCAGTACAAGCACTCATCAAAGGACAGACAGACTAAAACAAAGAGGCAAGAAAGTTCAACAGTCTGTACTCAAGATCAAATTCAGAAGCAAATATACAGCCAATAAAATATGACTGATTCAACTAGCCCATTTTTTGTAACTTTTTAAAGAATATTTATTTATTTGGCTGCGCCAGTCTTAGCTGTGGCATGCAGGATCTTCCATCTTCATTTTTATTGCAGCATGCAGGATTTTTAGTTGCAGCATGTGGATCTAATCTAGTTCCTTGACCAGGGATTGAACCCCAACCCCTTGCATTGGGAGTGCAGTGTCTTAGCCACTGGACCACCAGGGAAGTCTTTTTGTAACGTTTTTAATAGTTTATTTTACTCAGCTGTTTTTGGTAGTTACTGACACTAATAAAGTAATTCTTTAATTTCTTTAGACATCCAGTAAGAAAGAAAAAAGAGGACAGGAGAAAGGACCCAAGTATTAATGTAGGATAGCAAGCTGATAAGTATAGCAAACCTTCTAGAGTGAATCAAGAAAAACCTCTATTTTCCCAAGTAATATGACTACCTCAAGAAGGGTATCTGTTCTTTCTACACCACTGACCTACACATTTCAGAAAGTCAGTCGCTGAGATTATCAGGTTATTTACTTACAGAATATGCTAACACCATTAAAAACATGCTAGTAAAGAAACGGCATTAGGTTCTGAGTTCTTTTCTGCAACCTCCTTCAGTAAGCATTTACTGACCACCTATATTATGCCAGACACTCTCAACTGCCAGGATAATCCTGCAACATATGTTTGATTCCTGCTCTCAGAGATTTGGGGGGGAGTGGGGGGAAGGGCCGGGGCATTAGTTAGGTCATCACTACCACACAAGAGTAAACACTAATCACAAGGGAAGACCAGACAAGCACCTGCCCAGCTCTCTCCCCAACAACCAACCACCTTCTATCAATAACCACCAGACCAGTCTAACCCAGCCCAGGGTTAAGAACTTCCTGGGCCCAGGGGCCAAGCTGAGCACAAGAGGACCAGCTGCACCAGCAGTCTTGCTGCACATGGACATAAACACATCTATTGCACTTTGGTCATTATTTGTCAGACAAACTTTAAGGGTCGTAAACAAACAGGTAGTTAACGGGTAATTAGCTCCGGGCCCTAATTCCCCCTCCCCTCGTGACTGAGACAAGGCACTTCCTGCACTGGAACTGGTCCCCTCCAAGCCCGTCAAGACCCAGGAACTTCCTTTCCTTTCGACAAAAGCGCTGCTCCCTCTGGCAGTGGCTCTACCCGGTCCTATTCAGAAAAGACATTTTAAAAAAC